GGAGTCAGCACGTTTCAGATGGTGGTCTCATGATGATTCACGTATGATGATGATGGTGTAGGAAGAATCAGCTCGTTGGCTGTTCGACTGACACTCTGAAGTTCGGATGACATCTTGTGTGCCGACCAGATGATTGTGGTCGGTGCAATGTAGTACAGTAACGACGATTTTCGAAGTAAGGTTTAGTTTAGTTTTTTATATTTTTCTCATTCATTTTATCACTCAAGTTTTCAAATTATTCTTTAATTAATTGATTAATTGACTCATTTTATTTATTAATTCATTCATTCAACCAATTCTTTGTACTAACATTCATTTATTACTATGCTAATGAAACAATTTTGTCTACAGAACGATGAAGGGTGGGCTGTGGTGGGCGTCAGCACGTTTCAGATGGTGGTCTCATGATGATTTACATATGATAAGCGTGATGGTTATTTATTTTATCACTCAATCTTTCAAAATTTTTCAAAAACCCAAAATTTTGAAATTGTTAATTTATTAATTAATTGATTCATTCTATTCATTTATTAAATTATTGATTAATTAATTAGTTATTTATTTCATTCATTCATTCACTCATTCATTCAACCAATCATTCAGTTAATCTTTTATTCGTTCGTCCCTTTGTTTCTTGATTTACCAACACGCTTATAAAATAAACTTGTCTACAGAATGATGAGAGGTGGGCTGTGGTGGACGTCAGCACGTTTCAGAAGGTGGTCTCATGATGATCGTTCCGATGACAAAGGATTGGGATGTTTTGGAGTGATTGGAGTGGATTGTTATCTCAATAAGTTGCCTATTGCTTTTTTCCAATGGCTTGGTTTTTATTTATTAAAATTAATTTTTTTTCAGATTTAGTGTTTTTCATTATCCGGTCAAATTCACGGATGCGTGTCAGATGATGGTCGGTGCAATGGAGGTTCATCTGTAGTGAAGAAGTTTCTGGAGAGTACACACGCGCACATTCACACACACACACACATCAATACAACACACACATACACAACATCCATTCATTTGGTGTCGTCGTTGTTATGTTTTTCTTCAACTTTCTATTTTCTTTACCGGACTTTAATTCATAGGTAAGCTAGGGATTGAGATGAGTTGAACACTCGTAGGTAGGCTAGGGCTTAACATTAGCTATAAAGTTTCAAGTAAAATAAAAACGTTAAAATATGTAAAACACAATGCCTGGAACGTGTAAAATTCCTAAAACTTAGAAATACAAATTTGTAGGTAGGTGAGATGAGTTAATCATTATAAGTAAGCTAGGGCCCTGAGAGTAATTTAATAGTAGGTAAGTGACTGACTACTAGTCTTGCGACATTTTACTATTTTTTTGTTTTGTGTTTGTTTTCGCTTCACACCACCACACCAACAAAAACATACTACATTTTTTTTTTCGTCGTCGCCTTAAATTTTACCTTTTTGAACAATCTTTTCAATAACGTCTATTTATTTATTTGTGAAATGTTCACTGGTTTCTAGTTTTTTAATTTTGGTTATATATTAATAAATAATGATTATTCTGTATCGGTTGATATTTCGTTATACTTGTTTGTTTAAAATCCGAACTTTTTAAAAATGACATTTTTTTCAGTCACCTCCCGTTTTTGAATGATATCAATGTGACTGTTGCATCTTTCGTTCCTAAATCAAAATTATGTCAAAGCGAATGAAATAGACGATGTTACGACCTTTTAATATTTAAATGTTGGCAAGTAGTAGCAGCAGTAGTAGTAGTAGAAGCAGTAGTAGTAGTAGTAATAGTAGTAGTAGAAGCAGCAGCAGTAGTAATAGCAGTAGCAGTAGTAGTAGTAGTAGTAGCAGCAGCAGCAGTAGTAGTAGTAGACAACAACCACAACCGATATTTGTAATGCCGACATTCTTACATTTATTTAATAGCCACAATAATATTAATAATAAAAATAATAATGAAAATAATAATTATTACTAACATAAATTATGAATTATTATTGTTATTATTATTTACTGAAGACGTAAGATAAAAATCATTATTTCAACATAATAATCAATTATTACAATGTCCTATACATACATGCATACATACATACATACATACATACATACATACATACATACATACATACATACATACATACATACATACAGACATACATACATACATACATACATACATATATACATACATACATACATACATTCATACATACATATAAACATACATACATTCAAACATACAAAACAATCAATCAAACAAACCTACACTTTCACACAAACATACACACACACAATAAACAAAAACACACTCACGCATAAACACACACATACACACACGTACATAAAAAAACATTGAAAAAAGAAAATTAAAAAGATACATAGCTATGATATTAGAAATTAAAATGTTCCTCATTCTTTTGGCCCATGTCAGTCAATAATATGATCTGAAAATTTTAAATTTATTTATTCATTTATTCATCTATCCATTTCTTTATTCATTCATTCATTCGTCATTCATTTATTCATCCATTTCATAATTCATTCTTTCACCTAGTCAGATTTTTTCATTCATTTGTAAATATAAATTCTCATTTTTTCCATCCATCCATTTATTTAGGCATTCGCTTATTCATTTACCCGCTAAATCATTCACTGATTTACTAATCACCCTTCTATCAATTTACTCACTCACTCACTCACTCACTCACTCACTCACTCACTCGTTCATTCATTTCTTCATTCACTCACTCAACCTTTATTAGGCAGTACAATTCTCTCTCCCTCTATGAAAACGTGTCTATGCCTCCTGCCCCCGAAAGAATATTCGACCAATAGGGATTTAGTCTCGCCGAAACTAGGGTCATAAAACCCCGGAAGGTCAGACTGCGTGAGGGCGATTTTCAGAGCGGGTCAAGGTCGAATCAGGGTCAAATTTATGAGTCGTTTTTAAGTTCAGAATTAATGTCAAGGTCGAATAATAAATAAAAATTAAATCAAGGTTGAATGATTAATGCACATACAAACGTTCCAGATTATGTTGATGATGAATTAATCAAACGGGAGAAAATAGGATGAGCGAATATACAAATGAACGAATGAAAAAGTAACTAAAAAAAATGAATGAATGAATGAATGAATGAATGAATGAATGAATGAATGAATGAATGAAACGTTTCAATCAGTCAGACAACTGACCAGTTTGGTGTTTTCGATGACTAATAATTTGGAGTTTTTGACCAGACCCTGAAGACATCTGCCCACCTCAATACAACAGCTACCACTGTAATGGTGATGATGACGGTTGTGATGACGATCATCATTATCATCACCATCATCATCACCATCATCATCAGCGATGTACATAGTTTAATAGTTTAGTTTGCATAGGAAATAGTCGTTGTTTAGGTCAAACATTTAAGCCACGACACAAGAGTTTTTATTACATGTGTGAATTTAAATTGGAGTATTTGAAAGAAAATGGAAAAACACAACTGAAGTTCTTCCACATTTTAAGCCAAGCACATGCGCGCGAAGATGACGACTCTGGAATCACAAATTTTTGGAAGGGGTAAAAAAATTACCCTGACCCCTAACCTTCCTTCGTCCACCAGCACCCCGTACAGCGCTCGATGGATGACCAGGCCACCGATGTTTTCCTCCACCTCTCTGCATCTCTCTACCTGCTCACTCATTAGATCCATCTGTGAATGAATGGATGAATGAATGAATGGTTGAGTGAATGAATGAATGAGTGAATAAATTAAGAGATAAACAATGAATGAACCAACCGACGTACAAATGAAAGAAAGAACGAACGAATAAATAAATGGATGAATCATTAAATGGAAGAACGAATGAGTGAATGAATGAATTAACAAATGAGCAAACAAACGAATGAAAGAATGAATGACAAAAAAACTCACAGCATCTTCAGCCTCCTTCTTCTTCTTACTAAAAAGCTCCGTATGTTTCTGCTTTTTCTCTTTTAAATTTCTGTAAAAAATGATGACGACGACGACGAGCGGTGATGATGATAAAAATCATCACAATCATCATCATCACAATAATAACAATAATCATCATCACCATCATCATCAAAACCTTTCATTTTGCTCTTTTACGTAAGGGTCAATGATGAATTTTTTAATCATGAAATATCCAACCAATGGGACGAGGGTACCGTAAAAAATGGCCGACGGTACGACTGATTCGGACAATCTGATTGGCATGGAGAAGGTCTGGTTGCCACGTGTCAGTCTGTCATTGGTCGGTTAGTTTGCAGGTTTTATTGACACATCAGTTAATTGGTTAACTGATTAATTAATTAACTGAATAAACCATAAATCAATCAATGTATCATATAATTAATTAATCAATCAACTAATCAATTACCCAACCAACCTGATTTTCAAGGACACACCGACGGGGACCCCAAACGATATGGAGGCCCCCAAGTCACTGAACTGTGTAACTTTTTTAGTGCAACCGTACTCGAATAAGAACCCAAAGGTACCAAACCTACGTATTCCAAGAAACAAATTAACCTTATAATCATAATTATTTACATTTAACTATAATTAATAATAATAATAATTAATGAATAATAATTTCTAACTAACCTTAATGCGGTCTTAAGCCTTAGATCGTATTTCTGACAGTTGTATATGTACTGGAGTATGGCGTAAGTTGCCGGAATACCTAACTAATATGATGGGAAACGAATCGAACCATTGACCGAAAAGATAAAATCCAAATGAAAACAATCGAAAATTATTAATTATATATCGGAGCGTGAATAATTGCGATGTAAAATATAATGTACGATCCTCTCATGCTCTCTGATCGACATGTACTTGGGAGCAAAAATATATTTAAAATCGGTCAAGCAGTGTTTCTGCCACAATATACCTATGCCATAGGACGGGCGAACTAACGCGTTAAAATCAGTTTCTCATCAAAAGATTTCGGCCGTGATATTTTAAACGAAGTTAGATTCAAATTGTTATAGAAACAAACAGGCGATATTTCAAATGAATTAATAATTAACGAACAGTTATTATAGACTAAATTTAAGTTTAATTTCAAGTTTTTATATTTCTGACGTTTGCATTCACGTGATGAAGCTAGGTTGGTTAGTTTCGTGGCAAATTGTAAGCTCTGAAATTTCGATTTTGTTTTTTTTTTGGAGAATGACAATGTTGTTCAACTGATTAATTGGTTTAATTGACTCTCTAGCTTTTTTGTCCTTGCACTCATGATCATATAATTTATAATAATATTATATTAATAATATTATTATTAATATAATTAAGAGCAAAAATAGTAGGAGAGATACATCATCACCATCATCACCATCATCACCATGGGCAGCGCTTTATACATTAGCATCATCATCAACACTTTAAACATCGTCATCAGCACTTTAAACATCATCATCATCACCATCACCTGGAGCCCTAGGAGGGCATGATGGTCGTCCCTGTCGTACATTAGGGAGGCATTGACGCCAGAAAGTAAGCCCCCGTTGAAAGTCAATCTACCGTGAAGATGTTTGTCAAACTGGTGTGCTACCACTGATGATGGTGATGATGACAATGATGATAATGGCGTTGATGATGATGATGTTGACGATGGTGTTGATGATGATGTTGACGATGGTGTTGATGATGATGTTGTTGTTGTTGTTGGTGATGATGTTGTTGTTGATGATTGTTGATGACGATGATGATAATGATGTTAATGTTGTTGTTGATGATGATGACGTCGTAATTATCATCATTATCATTATTATTATTTTTATTGCACTAACTAAGGTTATAGTTGACTTTAGGCATGCCATCTGGGCCCAGCTGCAACGAACCGCCCACCGTGCCAAACCTGAATAACAATAACAACAACAACAACAACAATAATAATAATAATAATAATAATAATAATAATAATAATAATAATAATAATAATAACATTGAAAAGTATCAATCAATCGTTAATACCATCATGGCGATAACCTATTTCATCATCGTCATCATCATCGTCGTCGTCGTCATCATCACTATCACAATCATCACAACTATGACCGACCCACGATTCCAGAGAGTTCTAAAGCCGCGACACGATAATGACGGCTTGCTGCCCATTGAAAACTCTACCTGTCACAATAGCAATAATAATAATAATAATAATAATAATAATAATAATAATAATAATAATAATAATAATAGCAATAATAATAATAATAATAATAATAATAATAATAATAATAATAATAATAATAATAATAATAATAGCAACAACAGCAATAATAATAATAATAATAATAATAATAATAATAAACAACCTCTCCCCATCCTTTATCGCTAAGAACTCGCCTGGTTGCTATTGAAACATTGCCCTGTCCTAATAAGAACAACAACAACAACAACAATAATAATAATAATAATAAAAACAATAATAATAATAATAACAACCAGTCCCATTGTGTGAAGACAGATGACCAGATAGTGTCACGGTATCTTTGCCAGTTAAGGGACACTCGACTGACTGGCTGATTTGCATGTCGGATATTTCGACGGACGGGAGTAAGGATGAGCTGTTTTTTTGATGTCATCACAATCGTCGTCATCACCATCACAATTATCACTATGACTAACCAATCCGCCAACCAACCAACAACCAACCAACCAACCAACAACCAACCAACCAACCAATCCATCCATTAACTAACTATTCACTATCGTAATCGTATCCGTCAAATATGTCAGTAGCATTAATTCCTATTGTTAAAGAGCCCTGATTGATTGATTGATTGGTTGGATAAATGAATGAATGAATAAATGAATGAATGAATGAATGAATGATTGATTGATTGATAGAAAAATATTATGATGATGATGTTGATGATAGTTATGATAACGATGGCAATAATAAAGGTGATAAAGATGATTAATATTAACGTGCTTTTGGGTTTGTTCGTTGTTGTAACTTTTTCTCTTCGTTTTCTTTCTTCAGTCGTTCATACTCATCCAGTATCTCTTGTGGGGTTCGATACTTTACCTGCAGCTGATTGGTTGAGTGAGTTAGAGGACTGATTAAATGATTGGATGATTTCATTGAATGAGCTCTTTGATTGGCTAATTGGTTAGTTAGACAATCAACAATAATTATGTTGAGTCAGTCAGTCAATCAACCAATCAGCCATCTAACCAACCAATCAGCCAACTATCTAACAAACCAACCAACCTGCCATCCTTCAGTCTTGAGACCTTGTACTCCAGCAACATCATAAATGGCTTTTTGGTGGGAATCAGATAACACTAAAATTAAGTGAGAAAAGTGAAAAAAAATTATTTGTATTTATATCAACAGATCTAAAACAAATAATAATATTATTATTGTATAATTAAAAATAATAATTATAATTGATGAAATAAAAATTTTTTTTAATGAAAACCTTCATGAGCTCTTTTGATTTTATTGAAAAGTTGGGCTGCTTTTTGTTTTTTATCATCTGACTGATGCTTGTCAGGGTGGTACATTCGACTCAGTCGTCTGTAAGCATTGTTTATCTCGTCTGCTGAAGCCTAATCAGGGTAAAAATTTAAATGTACTTTGTTAAAATGTAAAAAACAGGGTTTATTTAAAATTAAATTAATAAATTTAACTGTTTCATCATTTAAAATCTTACTAAAAAATCATTTATTTTAGAATGAAAAAATGAGTGAATATCATTTATATCTATTGTAATAATAATAATAACAATTTTCCTTCATAACATGTGCTGGTTGTGAGGTGTGAAACTGTAGTGTATGTATTGTATTGTATGCCAATGAATGGTCCTTTTGATGATTTGCAAAAAGAATTTAGCATTATCAAACCGGAATTGAAAAAAATGATACATTTGAATAAATAAATAAACTGATTAATAATTAAAAAATTAAAACCGATCTATTTAATCCGAGCCAGGCGTAATAATCGTCTTCATCCTCGAGGTCAAAATCGCTTTCATCAGAATTTGCCATTTTTTAAGTTCACTTTTAAATAACTTGCTTAAAAGTTAGTTTAGGTTTGCCGGTGACCGTTGAGCCTCTAAGTATAGGATTGAATCTAATTTGAAAGTTTTGAAATCTGATAAATGAATGAAACGATTTGAAAAATTTATAATTTTACAGCATTATATTTTATTAAATTTTTATTATTTTTTGAATAATTAAACTTTTTTTGTAATCCACAGTATTTAACCCCATGGATATATATATGATTTTACAGAACAGAAAGAAATTTTTATATTCAAATAAATAAAAATAATTTTAAAATACATAGTTCTATTTAATTGCATTGTTTTAAACATCATAAGTCAAGTAAATATTTCATATAACTTGTTCGTTGTTAAAAACCATGCTACTTGATACGTTAGCCAATGAGCCAACTGTTCAAGGAAGTCAAATGGTCCAACCCGGGTTTTTCCCAGTTTTGCATTCCTTTTGTATTGCTTCGTCCTGCCTGATCGAAATTTTACGCTGATTATTCTATTTTCCAATTAGTAAAATCAGAATATAATAATTTATATTTTTATCTATTCCATTTAAACATTTTTGTTTGATCAGTAACGACTATCAATATAGTCATTAGATTACTAAACTCGTTCATTTTTGTCACAAATTTATAAACTTTTTTCATAAAAAATTGAAAATAAGTGAATAAACAGTTTAAAAAATACATTATTAAAGTTAAATACCCTATTAATTGATTAATTAAATACAATCTGAGATATATAAAATTATAAATAAATAAACTTTTTAATATTTATTTCCGTGTGTTTTCCATCACTTACTAAAAAATTTAACATTTTAATTGTTCAATTTTAATTTTATTTATTTTTATTTCATTTATTTAAGAACTCATTCACTAAACTCATTTGATAATCCGAAAAAAATAAAAATGGAAAAACAGAATGATAAAAAAATCACAGTTGATAATGACAGTGGTCTTCTGATAAGGGCAATGGCTGACCTCAAAAGAGTCAATGGTTATTTGAACAGTTTTATTAATCTATTAGATTTTATTTCAATGATTTAATTGATTAATTAAAAAAAAATTTAATTAATAAATGACCTGTTAATTATTCGTTTATTAAATGTCCTTTGCTTATTAAAAACCTTTAAGTTAAAAACTTTAACTTTTAGTATAATATTTAGTATGATTAATTACCTGGTAAGAAGATTAGGAAGCTAAGATGATAGTATAATTATAGATAATGTAATACAAATGTATAATTATTTGGTTTGTCGTTATTATATTTGTAATTTGTATAATAATTAGTTGATTATATGATCAATTATTTGTTGTTACAATTATTATTTGAATAAAATTTTGAAAAAAAATTATTTTATCATCTTACAAGTGAGATGACACAATGCTAATTACTTAGTGTCTTGTCTTGTGTTCAAATGCTAAAAGATCCTTGCCTAGGGCCTATCATGTATCTCACATGTAATGATATTTATGATGTATTGATTTTTATGTTCCAGCACTCTCTCTCCCTCTTTCTTTCTTTTTCTCTCTCTCTCTCTCTCTCTTTCTCTCTCTCTGTGTTTGTATGTATATGTGTGTGCGTGTGTGTGTGTGATGTGCGTGTGTGAGTGATAAATATAAAGATAATAGCTACTAATTATGAAATTAACTTTTAAAATAAACATTTAAATACTTCCAGAGCAGTTGCAGGCTATGCTACAGAAAGCCTTAGAGAGAGTTGAGCTGTTGGAGAGTTGTAAAACGCAAGATGAAGAAAAGATAGTTGGAAAATTTGGAGAACTTAACATCCTGCTCAGAAATAAAGATTTGGAGATTAATGTATGTATTTTTTTATATCATTCATCCATTCAATTGTTCGTTCATTCATTCATTCATTCAATTGTTCGTTCATTCATTCATTCATCCATTCAACCGTTCATTCATTCATTCATTCATTCATTCCTTCGTTCATTCATTCATTTGTTTATTCATTCATTCATTCAGACTATCTCACAGGAGTATGAACTATTGAAAGAGCAAGTTGAAGATATGACAGCTTCCACGAGTGTAGAGATAGATCAGTTGAAAGTGAGAGAGAGCGAGAGAATGTTCTAAATAATAATAATATTATTATTATTAATTATTATTATTGTTATCATTATTATTATTACAGGATAAAATTGCGTTTTTGGAGAAAGAGAACACAAGATTGGAAGATCTACAGACACCCTTGGTATGATAACATACTGCTTGCTGCTTAATCAGTTACTCATTTGCACACACACACTCACTCACGCATACAAACAAACACACACACACACTCACAAACAAACACACACTCACACATACAAACAAACACACAAACAAACAAACACACACTCACACTTACAAACAAACACACACACTCACACACACACACACACACAGCTAATTCAGTTAGAGTCATACAGGAATGATTTTGAAGAGGAAAGAAAATGCAGAGAGGCCCTTAACGACGTTAAACTCAAACTAGAAGAGGAATTAAAAGCTCTGAATCAAGAAAATTACTTACTAAAACTGCAACTCAAACAACAGCAGCAACAACAAAACTTCACCCCGATAACGCCGACTAGCACACCTCGTCCGGGTTTGAATGCAAGCTTAAACTTGAACAAGAACAATATCTCGCCTCCGTCAATCAACAAAGCAATTGAGACCCCTCTCCTTTTAACATTACAAAATGGAAATGTGATTAATAATAATATCGAAAGCGAAACTAACAACGACGACGGTGGTTATGGGGATTTCAATCCCGCAGTACTGGATCCAGTGTCGGACAATCAGCAGAGAATTTTATTACTAAGGCCATTGTCACAACTTAGTGACAATAACGCAACAATGAATGTTAATTTAAGAAGAAGTTTCCAGGGCCACAACACTAAAAATAATTATAATGATAATTATTATGATAAAAATAATTACGATGATAATAATTATATTAATAATAAGAAAAACGACGGGTCTTGGAGCAGCCATCTGGCCACAAAGATCAACAATGTATGAAGATTTTTTTTTATTTTCTAATTTAGATTCTTCGTCATCTCGTTCATTGATCCCTTATTTTTATAGATATGAAGATAGCTCACATACGTCTATGTTTTTTTTTTTTTAAAGTTTAACGTTTATAATCTTCGAAAAGGCCAGTTAACTGGGAAGAAATTTAATTTAGTTTTGTATAAAAAAAAAACATTTAATAAACATCGATGCATACATACTTACAGACAGACAGACAGACATACAGACAGACAGGTAGACAGACAGATAGACAGACAGATAGATAGACAAACGCGCAATCAACGTACAATCGAACGAATTATACATCCAACGGCAACTACAGTAATTAACTCCCTAAAACGTCTTCCCTAATCAGACACTAATCTTCCCTAATTTTAGGAACCTCGGTCCCAGCAGCAGCAGCACAAATGTCCCATTTGTAAGTTCCAGACATCGAACGAGGAACAAATAACACAGCATGTCAACATCTGCATTGAAAATCTTAAGTAAGTATATATATATACGAAACGAAACGATGTATGTATATATATATATATACACACGCATGTTCTCCTCAGTACCTACCTATACACATACAAAAACTTATATACAGGCATACAAAACATACACAAACAAACCATTATTTACGATTATATATATATATATAATATATATATATATCTAACTAATTATTATTTGTTTTACAATAGCTTGTCTAAAGATAAGCAATTAATTTTTTTTTGACAATGGTGCCAAGAATGTAGTGGGTTATACTGTATATGTGTATATATAAATATATGTGTGTGTATATATATAAAAGATAATATTTAAATACATTACGTTAAATTAGGGTATTTGAATATTAGTACACCATAATTATCGTCATTATTGTTACATTCTAATAATAATTATTATTATTATGCCGCTAATTACTATTATTATTCGTATTAAGAGGTAGTAGTAGTAGTAGCAGCAGCAGTAGCAGTAGTAGCAGCAGTAGTAGTAGTAACAGTAGTAGTAGTAATAGTAGTAGTAGTGGCAGTTGAAGTAGTAGTAGTAGTATTAATAAGTAGTAGCAGTATTAATAAATCCGGGATGGTTTTTTTAATCCGTATAAGTGCAATTAATGATTCATAACTGCTGCTGACTGTTATGTATAATAATATTAACAATAATTATAATCTTTTAAATATGGCATTAATATATTACTAAAACTATATATATATATATATATATATATATATATGCATACATATATATATATATGTATATATATATATATATATATATATATAAATGTAGGTAACAATGATGAAGATGATGTTGAAGACGATAATGATGATGATGTTGCCGCCAAAATAATAACGATGATGATGATAATGATGATAAGAACAAGAACTTTTTATCATTTTTTTTAATCTGTAAAGCCAAAAACATCAAACATGCATAAATGATAAGCACACACACATATATATATTTGTATACATACCAGTACATACGTATATACCATATATATATATATATATATGTAATTTATATAGCGCTTTATATTAATTTATAATATCCAACAAACCTTCTAAACTATACACAACAACAAAGGATGATGATGATGATGTCAATTATGACAATTAAGTGATTGGGAAAATTGTGGAGAACTAACTCATCAGAGATAGTCAGTAACGACGGTGATGATTACGTAACGATATGATACTGATAATGATGATGGTTAAAATGATGATGATGATAATGATGATGGTTAAAATGATGATGATGATATGATGCTGATAATGATGATGGTTAAAATGCTGATGATGATGATGATGCAAGGACGTACGACGACGATGATGATGATGACGACGACGATGAGTGATTATCGATATCAGAAAAGAGTAAAACTCAATACAATCATTTTTATACCATTTCACTACACAAACACACACACACACATATAAATATATATATATACATATATTTATATTTATATATACATTACTATAATGTCGATTTATTAACATCAGATTTCTCATTCAGTTTGTCATCATTATCATTACTGTCGTTATTATTATTATGTTGTTTTTGTTTTGAATTATTATTGTTGTTGTTATGCTTGATGTCGACCAATAGGATAGTGACGTTGTCGGCACTCAATCTCCGAACAGCCTCGTTGGCCAGCCTGAGGAATGCATGCGAATAACGAAATGAATGAATGAATGAGTGAATGAATGAATGAGTGAATGAATGAATGAATGAGTGAATGGATTAAAATAAAATAAAATAAAATAAAGTAAAATAGTGGAAGAGTGAATCGAATGAATGAACGAAAGAATAAATAAATGAAGAATGAATAAATGAATGAATGAATGAAGGAAGGAAAGAAAGAAAGAATGCACCTATTGGCAGCAAGCTCCATCTTAATACAGTCAACATCCTTCATATCTGTTCCTTCTATTTTGTCATCCTGATTGATTAAGTGAACGGGTTAATAAGTGAATGAGTAATTGAAAGAATGAATGAATGAACAAGAGTGAATGAATGAATGAACGAACGAATGTGACGAAATGAAGAACACTATATTTAAGTAAATTACTGAATGAAATGCAGGAAATATACTACATAGAAAGCATCAACGAATGAATGAATGAACGAATGAGTGATGGATGGAAAAAAATTAAAGTAAAACAACAAAAAACAAAACAAAGATATAAAAATAATGCACCGAAGAACGCAAAAAGTACCGACATTGAGAATTTTGTTTATAAATTCTATGGCACTATCGTCTTCGAATCTCTTCCAGAGGCCATCGCAGGCTATCAATATGAACCTATCTTGGGGAGTCAATGAGCATCTCTTTACATCCGGCAGACAGGTGACACCGTGCTGCTTAAAGGGGCCATCCCCGATCGATCTACTCACTTCCAAAATTCCCATGACACGCCCATCCCTGTTTTGTTTTTTTTTTTGTAAGGTGTTTGATTTAGTTTTTTCAGGGTTTCTATGCCTTTGTATTCGTGTTTCAATCTTGAGGGCATTCAAGATGTTATGTATTTCAATCAATTCATCAATCAATCGATTCATCAATCGATCCATCAATCAATCGATCAATCAATCAACAACTCGACCAATGAACGAATTCATCAACGAGCCAATCGACCAACCAACTGGCTAATCGTATGCAATGGCGGACTGACCTGACGTGACCTCCGGCCTTTTGAATCCTCATCCTCTCCTCGTACAGCGTCGGCGAGTGGTCGGTCGTCAGCGGCAAGGCCACCATTTTCTTCAACGTCGAGTCATACCGACAGACGACTGCCTGGTTGATTGGTTGGTTGGTTGATTGATTGATTGATGAACAGTTGACTGAAGGGATGTTTGATGATTGATTAACTGACTGATTGATAGATTGATTGATTGACTGATTGATAAGTTTGGCAGCAGCTTTAATGACTGTAGTATATTGTCTGATTGATCATCACAGCCATCATCATAACCACCATCGCAATCATCATCATAACCATCATCACAACCATCATCATCACAACCATCGCAATCATCATCAGCACCTTACTGTCACCGATGTTACCGATGTACAAAACGCTGTCCACCGCCACCACGACGACAGCCGTCGTCCCGTCTTTCCAAGATGGCCGCCTGAATGAATGAATGAATGAACGAACGAATGGATGAATGAAAAAATGAATGGATGAATAAATGAACGAGTGATAAATGAATATATGAATTAATAGATTAATGAATGAATTGGCTAATCAAATGAATGGACAAGTGAATGAACGATTGATGGATGGGAGAAAAGATATATGGACAAACAAACTGATAATCAATCAATTAATTAATTAATTAATTAATCCAACAACCAACCAGCCAAACAATCAATCAAACAAACAACTCACTTTCTTCTAGCTTCTTGTAGAAAATCGTCGTCTAACTTTTTGAACGACTCGACGAAGCACTTCCTAATATCTTTCTCGAAGTTTTCTTCAGCTATTTAAATAACAACATTAACAACAACAACATTAACAACAACAACATTAACAACAACAATAATAACAATAACAATAGCAACAATAAGCCTACATGTAGGAAACTTCTGGGCAATAATCTTATGTAGATGGCTGGCTGAATACTTTGAGGCATTGCAACCACCGTGTCCATCAAAGACAGCGAATAGTGATAACTTCGATCTTTAATGATTGATTGAATAATTATGAAAAAATATCATTATTATTATTATTTTTATTATTGTAAACAAAAAGATTTATTTGAACAGAAATGATATTAGATGATAATTTTAAATGATATTAGATGGAATTTATAAAAATGTTTCAAAATTGTAACTTAAAATTAACACACTCACACATACATGCAAACTCACACATACACACACACACACACACACATATATATATATATATAATATATAATATAGTTGAGACTCTTTTTTTGAGTTCCTTTGTTAAAAATACTATAAATACCAGATGACAAATACCATATAACAATATCAAAAAAACTCTGTTACACTGATAATGGTAAAGGTTAACGAAAAAAGCTTTCAAGTAGGATGTATACATGAAAAATGCAGTCTAAAATAATTAGAAATTTTATTAATTTGAATAAAATAATCGTTCAAAAAATTGAAACATACTGTGAATCAACTAGAGAATTAAAGTTGTCGACGATGGTGTGGGCGTCCTGCATCTCTTCTCTCTCTCCTTTCCTTTCAGCATAGTACCCCCGGAAGCTGTAGACATCTGTTGAAATGTTTGTATGTGAAGTTGGTCTTTAAACTTATCATCATTATCATTAGTAGTGGTCCTAATCCTAACTTAACTACACTTAAAGACGACAAAGTGTATTATATATGTAGATTCAAATAAAATTAATTTAAATTATAAATTTAAAATAATAAATTACCTTTTGCAAATTTCTTCCTCTTCAACACATCTTCGTCGTCATTGCTAGTGCTCGAAATAGAACGTTTCAGCTTTTTGTTGCCACTGATTTCATCTATAAACATCTGGCCGTCGTGTCTGCCATCTTGTGAGGAAATGTTTGATTCTATTGATGTGGCTGCAATGGTTTTTGTACTTGAGATGGAGACCTCCAAAGAATTTTCCAACTGCTGACTGCTGCTACTGTTATTAGGAAACGTTGGGGTCGAAGCTAATGAAGGGCATTTATTTTAGATTAAATATACCTTCATATTTTTAATTTTAAATACGATATTTATGAGAACGATAATTAATGAAATGATACGTTGCATATTAATAGTCGAGTTTTTAACAATTTTAAATTTAAACAAAAAATATTTACTCGGTTCGGGAAGATCGTCAAACAAATCCATCGCACGTCCGTAAAAAATAAACTTTTAAGAGAAGAACTTAAAGAAATTCTAACTAAACAACGGACGATTTTAGATGCATAATATTGCATAGATTAAAAACTGTACCAATAAATTAACGTGATAATTTTATTTATTTAAATTCCTCCTTAAAACATATATGCTGAAAACTTGTTTATAAGTAAAATTTTAATAATTCACATTAAATTTATGTTGCTAAATTTTTATATTTTATAATTTTTTATTTATTTAACCAAAAATCGTACTTTTAATATAGAAGGTCTGGTTGTGGCAAGTTTTTTAAACATAAAATTACCTTAGTAGTTCTCTGTGATAAAAGTGAAACAGGACGAGATTGTATTTCGCGTTACCTTATCCCAATTGAAAATCGATCAAATTACACTAATTACTAATTACAAGGCGTTTTTATTTATCGAAAAAATGTTTCTAACAAATACCTTTTTTGTCCGTCAATTCCGATTCGGACGTCCAGGTGGAGGTCCGGATAAATTCTGGAGGGTCCAACAGTATCTCAGGCTTTCTTGGGTGAGTATCAATTTGATACTTGATATAATTATGATAATATATCATACATACTATCAAATCAATCATTCAATCGGTATCAAACTATGGCAAACCAATATATCAAAGGTGGTCCCAGTTTTTGATTTTTAATTAATTAAAAAAAGATATATGATGTCAACTCAAATTAAACCAGGATTTTCATTTAATTTTTGTATGTCTATCTATTTTAACTAAGGAATTTTTAAATTAATTGTAATATAAATAAATTAGTTAACTAATTTATTTATTTAAATTAAAATTAAATATAAAAATTTCATATTCCCTAATTTTTAATTTGTACTCCGTTATCAAAGAATTTCACTGGCAGACGACAGAACTGCTATGGCTTGGCTATGAGATACGTTCACAAAGCACTGATGTATGGAACCATTAACAGGCAAGCCAAGAAGAAAAACATAAGACATGTTGGTATACTTGTAATGTAATAGCAATAATTATAAATATTAAAAAATATAAGATAATTATAAATTTTAATAATATTTTTATTAAAAGCATTAATTATAAGTATTATAATTCTCTCATGATAAATTCTTGGAGGTTTTAACTACACACACACATTCACACACTCACATATATTGCATGTATGTATATGTATATTTAGGTAGTTAGGCATGTAGTCAAATGGAGATCTCTTTCCATATAAACTCTGTTAATTAAACCAGACATAACAATAATAAAATAATAATTAAATTAATATTAATTAATTAGTTGATTGATTGATTAATTAATTAATTAATTATAGTTATGGCAAGTCAGGTTAAATGCTGCTTCCACAGAGCATAATATCAATGGTCGAGATTTTCTTGAAGGCCTGGCAAGGGTATGCTTATTATTATTATTATTTTTGTTATTATTATTATTGTTGTTGTTGTTGTTGTTGTTTATTATTGTTGTTATTATTTATTTATTATATTATGTGATAATTATGATTGTTATGGTGTTACCTCAACTCGCCAGTGCAATGTGTTGCTTGACAGAAAGACGTTGACTGATCTAGCTATATACGAGCCAAGAACGTTTCAAGTTAGTTGATTGGTTGATTGGTTAGTTGATTGACTGGCTGATTGATTGAATGAAAGACTAAATGAATGAATGAATGATTGGTTGATTCATTAAATGAATGAATTATTGAACTGACTGACTGACTAATTGATAGATTGAATTATTGCTTGATTGAATGATTGGTCGACTGATTGACTGATTGATTGATTGAATGAATGAACGAACGAACGAACGAACGAACGAA